AGAAAACATGAAGCCCGGCTCCATCTCATTAGGATGGCATTGGGGGAAGGGGAGACCTGGGTGGCATTTTACATTGCGAGTGTGCGGCCTCTCTAATTTTGGTTCTGAGCAGTTGGAAAGTTTGCAGTTGGAACAGAAGACCCAGCTTCAAAGGCACTGCCTGCTGCTGGCCGGGCAGAGGGAGTGGAAGGAGCAGCATGGGGGGGGGGGGGGGGGGGGGCGAGGACGTGGTGGCCGTGGTGGCCGCGGGCACAATGGGGTCGGGCTGGAGCAAAGGCCTGGGGGCCACAGGGGGCGCAGCCTCAGAGCCTGCTGTGCCTTTTAGGGGATCAGTGGAGCCGCTCCTGGGAGGACAGCTAATTGAGGCAGTGGCCTTGTCCTTGGAAAGTGAGCTTTTGTCCAGCCTGGGCCCTCTTGGGGGCACTCACGGGGCAGAGCTCTGGCCTGGGCTGTCCCAGGCACCTCCTACCCGGTCTCCCCCTGGTGCTATAGAAACAGGGCATCTTGGGAGGCGGCTGCTCCCTCCCTCCCAGGATCAGGGAGGAGGCAGCTCCAGTACCTTTCAGCCTAGAAGGCAGGGGGATTGGGTTTCGGGGTTCCCAGGAACAGTCGTCCGGCCCGCCTCCCTGGAGGGCAAATGTCCACTCAGCCACTGGGCTTCTGGGACAGGTGGACAGCCAGGGGGTGTGGTGGGTCCCTCCCTCTCTCCTTCCTCCCCTCTGCCCTGCTGGCCTTGGGGCTGAGCGCTCACCTTCCAGCTCCCTTTTCAGGGGAGGTGGCAGCTAGGAGACCAGGAGTCACCATGACAACAAAGCTCCTAAGCAGGCCAGAGCCCCCAGCTCCCCCTCATCTGTGTCCAGGCAATTGGGGGCCATCATTTCTCAACCACTATGAACGTTCTGAAGGTCAAGACCCCCCTCAATAGGGGGTGTGCAGTGGGTAAATGAGTACATGGGTGGATGGATAGGTGGGTGGCTAGAGATGGGAGGAAGGAAAGAAGTGGTGCACGCATGAATAATGAATGGATAGGCAGATGCCGGGGAAGGACAGAAGGAAGGTAAGGAGATGGGCGGGTGTGGAAGTGAGAACAAGGGTAGCCGATGGCTACGTGGGTAGATGCATGATGTTCAAAAGAGATGCATCCTAGCTAGGTGTTACCGGGCTATGGGCTATGTGGATGGATGGATGGATGGATGGATGGATGGAGAAGGACGGGCAGGTTTGAAAGGAGACAAGATGAGAAACAGCACCAAATCCTTGGTTCTGCTGCAGGATCTTCCCGGAGAACCAGGAAGGCTCCCTCCCCTAAGGCAAGTGGTAGATCTAGGACAGTGGTTCTCAACCTTCCTAATGCCGCGACCCTTTAATACAGTTCCTCATGTTGTGGTGACCCCCAACCATAAAATTATTTTCGTGGCTACTTCATCACTGTAATGTTGCTACTGTGATGAATCGTCATGTAAATATCTGATATGCAGGATGTATTTTCATTGTGACAAATAGAACATAATTAAAACACAGTGATTAATCACAAAAACAATATGTAATTATATATGTGTTTTCCGATGGTCTTAGGCGACCCCTGTGAAAGGGTCGTTCGACTCCCAGATTGACGACCCACAGGTTGAGAACCGCTGATCTAGGAGGTCCCCAGCTCCCCTCCCCCCCTCGCCCCATAGACCCTGTGATCTGACAGCTTGCTGCAACTAAGACCCCTGAGCCCAAGGGAAGAAAGAGCCTGATCTCCAACCACTAAATGCCTGCAGTGCCCCAGTCATTGCCACTAACAAAGACAGATGTCGCGGCCTGGGGGGCATGGGTCTGGCAGTTGCTAAATGCCCAGATGCTCCCTGCTCCCGCCACTGCCATTCTCCACCTGCTGGAATCGCTGTGCCTGCCGGGGTCTCTCTGCCGCTTCCCCTTGAGGAACAGTCTGTAGGCCAAGGAAGGCAGCTCTGCCCACGGGCCCTGCCCTGCCTGGTTGCTGGTGCTTTGCTTGTCCAGCTCTGGCTCCCTCTCCCCTTGGCCTGTGCGCTCCTGCCCCCTGGTGGGAGCCAGGACAACTGCAGCGCACAGGGCGGGGCGGGGTGGATGGAGGCTTTCCCCTGCAACCAGAGGAGTGTGTGCGTGTTTGTGTGTGTGTGTGTGTGTGTGTGTGTGTGTGTGTGTGTGTGTACACGTACTCACGCTCTCACACTTCTCTTGACCTAAAAGATTAGAGATGGACGGAAAACTCTGAAAGGCCCGTAGCAGCTCCTCCAATGGAAGGGGTTATTATTATAATTACTGTGATTATTGTTATCAAGAGGATCATGCTTGCCTGGCGTCCTGTACAAAGCAGGCCCATTTCCTTCAGCTTGTTGTTTGTGTCTGAGGGACTTCATCTCTGCTCATAATAACTAGCATTTGCAGGGCTCTTTGTGTTGCAAAGCTGCGTCCCATCCTTAGCCCGTCTCCACGGCACAGACAACCCTGGGAGGTGGGAACGAACGAGAGCAGAGGCCCAGAGAGGTTAAGTGATCTGTCCAACCAAGGTCGCGCGGCTAAAAGGCGGCAGAGCCAGGATTTGAACCCGGGTCACCTGCGTGAACATTCCCATTCACTTCCCCACGTTTTTGACATCTCATCTCTCGGGAGGGCAAAGGCCCTTTATTAAACGTTCGCCCTTTGCTGCTGATGTTTATTGAAAAGTTCGTGTTGCCCTGAAAAGAAGGGAAGTGGGTTGAAGACCTGAGTGTTATAGGTGGCGTTAGGCATCCCAGTCTAGACGATGCGTACACCTGGGCACCTCCGAGTCCCGGGCAGTGAATGGCAAGCGTGTGGCCCTCATGGCTAGTGGCTCAGCTGGGCTGATGCCAGCATCCCCTGGTCACCACTTGCCCCATCCACGTCCCGGTGTGACCACGTCTCTGGGAAGGGCGGGCAGGTCACACACGGAGGGACAAACATAGGAGTGAGTCCAAGGTGGCTGGGTGGAGGCGATTATAGAGCACAGCCTCCCTGCGAGGTGTCACGAGGCTCTGGGTGCTCAGACTGGAGTGTGTCCCTCACCCAGCAGGAAGTCACCTGCCCTGCCCACCCTCAGGCCCTGACTCCCTTCTCACAGACCGGGCAGAAACCTTGGCAGCAGGCCGGAAGGAGGAAGTGTGGGAAGGTCTGGCCGGGTCCACCGGCTGCGTTCCACATTCCATAGACGGCAGGCACGCTGAGAGCCGGGAGAGGACTGAGACTTCCCCAGGTGACTTCCCCAGGTCACCCGGCCGCCTGGGAGCAGCAGCAGCAGCAGCAGCAGCAGCAGCAGCGTGTGGGCCCCTAACTCATAGGCCTCGGCACTGGTTTTAGCCCCAGGTGGAGGCACCCCCACCCCGTCACCCCCTCTCCCCTCCCCCGCCTCCCCAAGCCTCTGCCTGCCTAGGGCACCCAGGGCCCAGGCCCCAGGGGCAGGATGTCCAGGTGGATGCCCCGGGGACGCTCAGATGCTGAAGAAACTCATCTCCAACCTGGGAACCTGGGAGGCCAGGAGGCCAGCGGAGGGTGGCCCAGGGATCGGGGGGCTGGGGGCCTGGCTCTGGGCTAGCATGTGGGCCTGGCCTGCCGGCCTCCGGGCCAGCAGCAGCTTCCTTCCCAGGCAGGGCAAGTGTACAGAGGGGACCCAGCTGCCAGGACTTCCTCACTGACCTTCGGCAGCAGACAGCCCTGGCGTAGAAAGAGCTTTTGATTCTAGAAGTCTCCTCAGAAGACTTCAGTCCACATGCCTTTTGCACAGAATCTTTTGTGGGCCACACATCTCCCAGGTGCTGACCTCGTTTCCTCTGTGTCTCTCCCTCCCCAGAGGACACCTGCGAATTGCCAGCCCCTCCCACTCTCTTCCTGAGCCACGGGCCACGGGCCGGGAGTCTGGCTCTCCTCTGGCGCGGTCGGAAGGCAGAGGGTTGAAAGGCCTTGAGAGTAGAGTCATCGTCTAGTAGTAACCGTTGTGCCCAGGAATTAGACCCGGATTCTGGGGGGCCCATGAGGTTAGGGCCTAGCGCACCCCACTCCCAGCCACCTCCGGGGGCTCTGTCTCACCATGCCCTCCAGCCACGAGGCAGGCAGCAGGCTCCCTGCTTTGGGGTCCGGAGAGTGCTCTGAGCGCGGTCCCGTCACCCAGAGAAACGTGTGCAGACTCGGTGGACAGGGTTTGCCCGGGGCCTGGGCTCAGGTGGCCACCTTGTCCGGCTTTGGGTTCCTCGAGAAGCCGGCCCCCAGACAAGGCGTTTATTTGAAAGGTCATTTCCGGAGGCTCTGGGGAGCATGGATCTTTCTGGTAATGCGTGTCACCCTGGGTGTGGACCCCTCCGCCTGGCATCGTTTGCCGTCCGAGGTGCTGTCGTCGGTGGCGACCCCCAGCATCTGCGGGTCTGATCACAGAGGCCAGCCTTGGAGTCAGGCTCCTGGTCTGAGTCCCAGCTCTGCACTGACCACCTGTGGGCGCAGTCACGGTTCGATTCCCGGTCAGGGCACATGCCCGGATTGTGGGCTGGATCCCCAGTGTGGGGCGTGCAGGAGGCAGCTGATCAATGATTCTCTCATCATTGATATTTCTATCCCTCCCTCTCCCTTCCTCTCTGAAATCAATAAAAATATATTTTTTTCAAAAAGTAGAAAATTGTTAGCCAAAAACATTTGACATTTCCCCCCCAAAAAACTTTGCAAAATGCCAGCCTTCAAAATGAATGAAAGCAGGGCTGCTTGGGGGTATTGGAAGGTGTAGAATAGAGCCCTGCCCACAGAAGCCCCGGAGCTGTGCCAGCTCTGGGAGTCCCCGAAGGCTGGCCTAGGAAAGCAGACTGCGCCCATATCCAGAGGCATGGGGTGGGGGGGAGGGGAAGGTGTTCAGATAGTGGCCCGCTTCTCCTGACCAGGCCTGGGGCTGAGCATTGTCCTGGTGCCCTGGCAGGTGCCCGGCCAGACTTCCTGTCCCCACCGAGCCTCACAGCCCCACCCATGTCTCCTCGCAGGCCGACGCCAAGATGGTGTGCGACGTGGTGAGTCGGATGGAGGACACCGAGCCCTTCTCTCCAGAGCTGCTGTCCGCCATGGTGCGCCTCTGGGGCGACTCGGGGATCCAGGAGTGCTTCAACCGCTCTCGGGAGTATCAACTCAACGACTCTGCCAAATAGTGAGTGACCGGGCAGGAGGGCGGCCGCCGGTGGGGCAGGGACCGCGTGGAGGGCAGGGCTTGGGTGGGGCTGAGGTCAGAGCCGCTGGGACAGCCAGCAGGGCCCAGGGCCAGGGCCGCTGTAGCTCAGCCCCTCCACGTGCACCCACAACCCACGTCCCTGCCCCAGACACTTGGGGATCCGCCCCCGTGGGCTGTGTGCGGCTCCTGCCCCCAGGCACCAGGAGTGGATGCCTGGCTGGCCCTGGGGGAGCCCAGTCCTGATTTCCCAGATCCCATTCTGGCTTTGGGTTCAAACCTAACCCCTACAGACCCCAAAGCCTTCCAGGTGCTCGGCTTGGGCAGGTGGGGTGCAAAGGCCTGGTCTGTCCCCAGAAGTGGGGGGGCATGATGCGGAAGACCTGGTCCCAGGCAGGCCAGCCACTGCCCCCTCTGTGACCTATGACCCTCCCTTCCCACGGACCCCTGGGTAAACTCGCAGCAGGTATAGCAGGGTGGGCAGATGCTCGGGGCCTCTTGGAAACACTATAGAGACTCGAGTGTGGACTCTGGGGCCAGATGTCCAGGTTCAAGGCCCAGCTCCCGGCTGGGCAAGGTGCTGACCTTCATTGACCCTCAGCTCTGTAATCTGTAGAAGAGTACATTTAGCTTGGAAATTAAAGATGCCACTTGGTCACACGTGAAGAACAGAGGCCAGGTGTTGGCCATTATCGCTTTGTCACGAAGCAAGGACAAGCAGCATCATAAGCCCGTTAGCCTCATTGGAGAGTCTGGTCTCGTCTGAGCATCCCTGGAGCCGTGCACAGAGGCCCTCGTGGTCTGAATTAGAGGCTCTTCGAGGATGTGCGGCCACCCTCCCACCCCCACCCCTGGCCCTGGACAAGGTGGTGCCATCATTCCCTCCGTGGCCTTCAAGGGGCCCTGGGGGGTACCGGGTTCGGAAGAGGGTGGCCCAGAAAGCCCTGAGCTGTGCCTACAGCCTGCCCCATGGTCCCCTGTGTGTTGCCGTCCCCAGCTACCTGGACAGCCTGGATCGGATCGGGGCCAGCGACTACCAGCCCACCGAGCAGGACATCCTCCGAACCAGGGTCAAAACCACCGGCATCGTAGAAACCCACTTCACATTCAAGAACCTTCACTTCAGGTGAGGCCCGGGGGACTTGCGAGCCCCAACCAGGGCGCCGGGCCATGGGCAGTGCCAACCCCTCAGCCTCAGCCCTGCCTCTGGAGCTCTCGCGTGGGGACAGGCAGGTAGCTAGGAGAAGGGACCTGTCTGTAGGTCTGTTTCCCACCAAGTTCAGGGCGGGGTCAGCAGGAGGGCTTCCTGGAAGAGGGGTCCTGGAGTGGGGCTCTGAGGCACAGGGAGGGAAGCCCATCCCTGGTGACCTCTGAGGGGGGGGGAGAAGGTGGGTCACCTTCCAGGACACCTTGTGGGGAGGGGTGGGGGTGAGCCATGGGTAAGCCCAGACAATATCCGTGGGACCCCAAGGACCCAGATAATCTCAGCTGGAGGGGCTTAGGGATCCGCTGACCCACCTCCCAGCACATCTGGGGAAACTGAGGCCTGGGAGGAGCAAGCTCTCCCCAAGAGCAGAACACAGCTGTTCTGAGCGCCTCGGCACGGGAGCCCGAGGTGCGCGGCTGGACTTCTCAGACACTGGCGGGAGGTGGCATGGCCACCTGGGGTGACCTCGCACACGGAGGCCTGGGAGCCCCTGTCCTGCCCCCACATGCCTATAGGTCTGATTCCTGGGTGTCGGGTGGAGCAGGTGAGACACAGGTAGAAGCCTGTGTCCTGGCCAGGTGAGGCGCACCCTTAGGAGGGCCCTGGAAACGCGAGGGCAAGTGTTGGACTCCCTGCGTGCAAGCACAGCCCGGGGGTGGGACAGACCGCAGT